TTGAGATGCCTAGTACTCAAAGGGTATGAGGAGAACTGGGTGCATTGGAAGATGAGATGGAAAGTAGATTCCATCAGCTGCATATGAACTGCACAATTATATTACAATCACAGCAGCTCTTGTGTTTTTCTCCAGCCACATTTGCCCTTGTGGAGGGATAAGCTGCAGTGGTGGTAGCTCATGTTCCCACTTTCTCCTTGACATATGAATACCTAGTTCTAATCAAAGCTATGACATACCTGGAACAATAACTAGTTTACCTCTAAATGGCCCAGTGAAGAATCTGTCATGTTTCTTATTATCTCCCTGGCAGTGTGAATAGTGAGTGGGAGGTGTATTTTTTGTAGAAAAAAGAGTAACTGTTGGAATGGCACTTGTAACCCTGTGAAGTTTGACATACAAGACCACAAGAAGGAATAGGCTAAAAAATGTATTGGTTTGATTTTAAGCACTCTCCAAATTATGCACACACATATGTATAAATCTGTTTTCTAGTGCTGAAAGAAGCAGATCCTCAGCAATCCCAAATACCCCTTACTTGTGGTGGTGGCAGTGGTATTGTGCAGAGCACACAAATACTCGTTCTAAAATCTGAACAAGCCAAGCTACAGAAAGAGAACTTGCAGCTGAAGAAACAAAATGACCTTCTATTGAGGTAAGTGGACAGCTGACTAGCAGCATGTCAAATCATTTATGTATTTATGTACATCATTAGTGTTTGTTTCTGGGAGACCTATGGAAGTGAGTAACCATTAATTTTAGATCTCACATCATAAACTTTTATTTAAAGCTAGTGTTTTATGGCTTAAAAAGCCATAAAGGCCTTTTGAACTTTAAACTGCTTACTTTCTTAAGAATCTTTTAAATGATGAAGCTACACTTGAATTGTACATTGGAAGGAATTTCAGTTAAAAAAAATCCTCTGAAACCAAGATAGACAACTACTGCCATGTCTGTCACACATCATCTGAAAATACAGGAACTCTCTGTTCTTCAGGAATTTTTTCTTAAAGAAATTGCTTTAAACTTTTCTTAATTGAATGCTGGGGTTCTTTTCTTTGCAGTGATGAACTTCAACTGAAAGAGGAACTCAGGAAATGGAAAGAAAGAGCACTAAAATGGAGAGAACGATCCTCAAGGGAAACTACTCGAGAGACAATACCAAAGTCTCCTAAGAAGGCAGTGTCATACTTCTTTAAAGAGCAAATGCCTTCACCCTGCAAGGAAACTGTTTCTCAGGAAACAGTGACTCAGAACCTACCAAAACCTCTGCCTCTGACTTGTCCAACAAATTTCTTTGATAATTCCAACTTGGGTGTGCTAACAGGTACGTAACACAGTGGTAGTGTCCTATAAGATTTGAAGATGCAAAATGTAAGGGATGGCCTGAGATCTGAAACTTGCATGATAACAGTTTTCCTGAATGGTTTGTCATATGACTGTTGAAAAGCTGACCATCTGAGCTGTGAAGCTTCTGTATGCTCTACAGAATTAAAATACCAAAATGAATCCTTCACCTGCTGAAGAATATACAAACCTTTTTTTCCTTTTCTGCAGTGGAAGTGTTGATGAGTGACTTTTAGAAGTGAATCAGCAAAATATTGCTATTAGATAACTGGTGCTCTAAATGTTTTGCTTTTTTAACTTTACATTGGTTAAGCACAGATTTCTGGTAAAACTATATAAAGTTAACTAGTTAGCTTTTTTCTGAAGTTTTTCAAGATGGTAGACTTCAGCCTTTGATGTTGCATTTGCTACTCTGCCTGGTCCCAGCTGCAATAATAGCTGTTTTGATGAGAACTTCTGTTCCTCAGCATCACTTCAGATTTCTTATTTCTGGCCTGATGACTTTTAGTGACCTTCTGCCCTCATGCTTCTCACAGCTTTCAGAAGGCCCCAGCAGACATGTTGAAGAGTAGCCAGTTTTTGAGGTATTAGTAGCAGGCTTCCAGAAAGAACATGACTCATTATTTGGTTTTGTGATGGCCAACTTGGTAACAGCACAGCTTTCCTCACAACACAAAGCTCCCCAGAGGGAAGCTTTCATAGCTGACAGACAAAACACTAATCAAGATTAAATTGCTGTATTCCTGCTGCTTGTCTAACTAAGAAAGGCTTTAATGTCCTTGTCTTCTGTACAGATACACGACCTGAGGGCACAGAGTCCACAGAAGAACATCTTAGGCACTTGTTTGGGACTTCAGACAGAGATAAAGCCCCTGACTGCAGCACCCAGTAAAGATGCTCTGTTGTAAGCTGCCCTTACAGTGCCTACAGCCAGGATCTGCATATACAAAAGAAAACTGCTTCAGGTTAAAAACCATCAGCTGCTTCCATCTTTGCTGTCTTGGAGTTTCTACTTCCCACAACTAGGAAAGCTGGAATATGAGGACAAAGGTGGAAAATCAGATGTTGCTCCACAACCTGCTAAGCTGCTGATGTTCTACTTTGGTTTTTGGTGTGGATTTTTTTCATAGGAAAGAGAAGCTAATGTATTAAAAAAAAAGGAAAAAGGAATGGATCACAAACTAATATACTGTGAGACTTCTCAGTCTCAAACTTTTCATTCTGTCATTCCTAAAACAGCCCTTTTCTGAGGTGTTGATATTTCTATCTTCAGAGTGCTGTTGACTTGGCAAGAAATATTCTTTTTGTTTCTTAGCATGTGGTTTTTATACCATACGTTCTTTAGGCCAACAAAAACTGCATTTTCACCACAATCTTGACTTCTTTGGTCACTGCAACCGAAGTTACTGATCTTGTGTTTGTAGAGCACACAATCAAGGGTTCCTCCTAAACTCCTTAAAAGTTTCTGCAGCTCAGCCAATTATGGTACAGTGAGTAACTTTGAATTTTGCATCATTTTTAATATACCTGTCTGAAGTTGTCTATTGGACTTTTTTTAAATAGTAAGCAATGGACTTCACACTCTTCTGCTTCTCTAGTGAAGGGAAAACAAACCAGATCATTGGGGCAAGATGGACTCTTATTAACCTACTTATTTGTATTGTGAGACCTACATTTTGTATGTTTTATATAAGAAATTTTAACTTGACAATAAAGTTTATTGTGTTAAATATGTAAAAATGGTTTTGCTGTTCACTTGTACTATGATCCAGGGATGCTGATTGCAACATTGTGTCTAAATGTTACCAAATTAGCTTTTATACTGATTTCATCACTTCCATCATTATTATTCTTCTTGTCTCCATCCTCTATAACCTTCTGCAGTAATTACTTGTGCAGAAATTTACTATTGTCAGAGTTTTATTTAATTCTTTGGGTCTATCAGAAAATGGTTGAAGTCTAAAATATAGATCCTCCTCTCTTTCCTGCCCTCCATTACCAACTAAACAGGAATTGGGCACTCAGAACCTGTGATCAACTCCATTAAGGATGAAATCATCACCATGAGAGGAGAAAGGATACCTAAGGAAGATACCTGCATCAAAAGCATCATCCTTATTTTATAGGAATAAATCTCTGTGATGCTAGGTCCTGTTAGGGTCCACCCAAACTGACAAGCAGATGGCTCCACTGACATGTTCCTGAGCATTCAGCAGTTACTGGAACTGGAGGAGGCACACAAGGATGAATCAACCTTCTATTTACTTTGAATGGCTGAAAACTACCAACTACTGTACCTGTAAGTTGCAAGGATTTATCTCAATATCTGGCCTGGAATGTGTTTTGGAAAGCTTTTAAAAGCATGACGATATACAGGTTCCAATACCATTACAGAGTTGGGCACTGCAATGTCTTCTTTCTGACCATAGCCACAGGTATTTATTTTCTGACAAGGATAAGGATAAATGCAAAGTGCTGGTAGGTCTGTGGTGGTTTCTTTTTTTTTTTTTTTTTTTGGAGGTTTTTTTTTGGAGGGTTTTGGTTTTTAAATTCTTTTTTAAATTAAAAAAAAAAAAATTTAAATTCTAAATTTAAATTTTAAATTTAAAAAAAATAATTTTTTTGGTTTTTTGAGGTTGGTTGGGAGTTTTCTGGGTTTGTTTTCGGTTGGTTTCTTTTTGTTTGGTTTGTTACTTTTTTTTTTCCCACTATGATGAACGAGATTTCCTTTGGCCATCAGCATTTTGTTGTTCTAATAAATGAATTAGATTGATTTGTTTTTTCTTCCAAAATTGGGAAAGAAGGTGTATATATAGATCTACCTCTTCTATATACAATTTCCATTGTTTTTTTGTTAATTATTTCTTGCTTGGAACAACTAGGTTTGGTGATTTTTCTGGTGATTGAACTTAAAAAAGCAGGAACTTATTGCAACAGGTGGCAAAAGCTTAGGGGCAGAAGGATAAATGCTTTTAGCAAATTAAGTCATTACAGTTTTTGTTTACTGGGGAGCTGATTTAGAAAGCTTTAAAAAGAAAGAAAACCTTAGCAGAAAGACAGGATAAACTGAACTTTTGTGTATGTGTGTCCCATTTTACCCACAGAAGTGGCTTTTCTGAGAACTAACTGATGTTTAGGCAGGACACCAAATTCCTTAATAATACTATCATGTAGCTATAAGTCTGGTGTGAGCTTATAGCTAAATTAGTTTGTTCTAGAATTTTTCAGTCTAATGACAGTAATTCTGCTTTAACATATGCAAGTTAAACCACTAGAAACAAAAGATACGTTGGCAAATCTCCAGTTTAACAACAATAAAAAAAAGTCACATAAGTTTTGTCCTGGTTTGGAATTCGATAATTTACATTGCAGAAAGACATTGCTTGGAAAAACAGGTTTGTGGCCTTTTGGTGGAATCCTACTGATCTCTTGAATTCCCATTGTAAGAGTCAGCTAGTGCTGGTGATACTTTTGTGTCCTTTCGTGTGGGAGAAAAATCACACTTTTTTAAAATCCTCAGTTTCACTAGATGGCAGCATCTCAGTATTTCAACAGGAAATTACGTTCATCTAGAGAAACTTAGCAGTTGGACTACAAATCCCAACAAGCACAGGGGAAAAAAAAAAACCACAGAACTTCCCTTTGTACAAGGGTCGGTGAATATAGCAAAGCTGTTCTAGATCTCTTGGTGAGTGACTGTATTAATATTTATTTGTAAAGGCTTCATAGAATCCGTATGGCAAATGTTCATAAAACCTGACTGTTAGATTGAAAAATGTATTTATAATGCATTTTGCTTCCCACGTGTCAAGGCATTTTGGGGAAGTACTTGAACTGGTCCAGGTGGCTTTTGGAAAGAAAAAAAAATTCTTCCATTACGTTGCTTCAGAAGTCTCATTTGTTGAATGTGTAACCTTCAGGAAACAGTTTTGGTGCAACTTTTGTTAGGAAAAACATCTAACAAAACAGAATTTCTGATCAAAGTAAGAGAAAATAATAATTTATTCAAAAAGTAGGATACTAAATTTGACTCAGTAATCTGAGTCCCAGCATGGATTTGAACATCCCTAGAGGACAGCACTGGCTGCTAACATAGGGGAGATTATGGTACCTTTATTTTAATTTCCCAGTGAAGTACTTGGTGTGTTGGATTTATGTGTATATTTAAGGACTTTGTTCTTATGACACTTTTCTACACCCATATCTACATAGACAAAGTTGCTTGGAGGAGTATGAGAATGCAGCCGTTTTGCTTATGGGGAACCCAATTAACAAACTCCAGATATTTCACTGTGACTAGAACACAGGGACCTCACTTTTTATGAAGTTCTTTGAGTTTTGGTATTTGTTTTCACTTGTTTGCCTGCATTTTTGTATGCTGTATTTCGTTAAACCGAACACAGCGCTTGAACAAGGCTGTATTTTGCCTTTTGGCTGCTCCACCTAGGCTAAGGTAGCAACTCCTAGAGGTTCCCTACTGCCCCAGGCACACTCAGTGTTCCCTGAAAGCAGGGAACAAGAGGCAAGACTGGGGGCTTCACTCCCCCCTCACTTTCCTGCCTCACTGGGACTGGGAGCCTGCTGTGCTGGAGGATTCCTGAGACAACTGAGGGCAGATACCAAGGCCAGGGCATTGTGTGGAATGTATTGCAGTCTAGGACATGGAGAAGTTTGTAGAGAAACAGAAGACAGACCTGCTTTCTGAGAATACCACGGATAGTGGAAACACTAGATTATGAATTATTGTACTGCTGTTTCATCCTGGCTTTTTTTTTGTGTTTAAGAAAAAATAAAATCCAATTTCTGTTATAATGAAGCTTAACTTCTGAGCTCAAATGCCTTTTGACTTCTTGAGACCCTTTATGTACAACTAAAAAAAAGAAATAGATGGGGCAGCCCTGCCTCTCTCGGAACTCTGGAAAACTGAGGGTCACAGGATAATTGTGATAGCAGAGGTACACCCTGGATTGTGTCTAATTTTGGAAATGTGTTTGCATCTGATTCCAGGGGGCGGGGGGGGAGGCGGTGGGGATGGTGTTGGCCTCTGTTTGTTAAATGTCTGTGCCATCCTGTGCAGGTCAGCACCATGGGGCGGCTGGATGGGAAGATCATCCTGTTGTCTGCAGCAGCACAGGGCATTGGCCGAGCAGCTGCTATTGTAAGTTGGAAAATGTTTGTTCTGCTGGGCCTGTGCAAGGTCTCTCATTCTAGCTTGTCCAGTGACACCTGCACCAAACCAGTTCTTGAATTAATAAACCACAGATGATGCTAGAAGCACACAGTGAAAAAATCAGGGAATAATGTAGCCACTATGCTGTATCATGCAGGCTTTGTGCTGTTTCAATTTATGAAAATCTTCAACTCTGAGTGGAGATGTTAGACAAGGATAAGAACCAGATTTGAGGACAGCTGCATCTGCTTTTTTAACAATATATGGTTGTACTGCCTGTACCTTTTATTCAACATCTCTGTTGCTTTGTTCTGGGAGAAAATAGAAATGATAGAGGGAATATTTCCTGGTCCAAGGCTGGTTACTGTGAGGATCCCTTACAGTAAAGCCAAGGTATTTTACCTGTATTCATGACTGAAATAACCAAGTTCACATGATACTAGCACATTGTTCACAATGAGCAACTGTAAGAAACTCTTCACGAATTTTGTTTGATTACTGTTAAACAGAATTTAAGGTATGTATTAACTTTCCAGTTAGCTTTTAACTCTTTTTGACCAGTTCTTCTCCTGCTACTTCCCTTTTCCATGGCTAATAAAAAACCCAGTAGAATTATCTTGTTATCTCTGTAATGTAATTAACAGCTCAGGAAAAGCTCCTGTAGCGTTTTTGCCAGATTAGTTAGTTTCTCATGCATGTGGCAGAGAACACAGAAGACTGCTGATCTTGGATCTTACATGAATTACTCAGTCCAAGGAGCAGGTAATCCTCCTGATGGTTTCACTTTGTAAATACCCAACCAACCATGGAAGGCTGGTATGGTTAATGTCACTATGCTCTTAAGCTGCACCTGGGACACCTATTTTGAAGATAAGGGGCTACAGTCCAAGATGTCAGAGTACTTTTGACAGACTTTACTTCCTTAGCTGTTGATTTATCAGCAATCACAATAAAAACAGGCTTTTGAGGAGTCTGTCAAGAATGAGCCAGTGTCTCTGGTTAAATATCAAAAGTTATGCTGCTTTTAATATTGTTCTATTCCAATTACTTGGATACAAAGGATTTTGTTTTAAAAATCCTGGTTTACAACTTCTGCCTTTACCTGTCAAATTTTGTGACTTTTAATTTAAATCTAACAATAGATTTAAATTAGATTTAAATCTAACAATACAGACAGTTCTAGCCCCATTGCTTACTACTGCAGCTAATAAGGGCATTAATAATTTCCATTATCTTAGTCTGGTTACTGTTCTTATACTTTATTTATGGATTCCTTCCTTTAGGGAAAACACCTTAAATCTGTCTTATCACACAAAGTTAAATAGTTGTCTGCAACTCCCTGATATGCCCAGAATGAAAACTTAGAGATCAGCTCCCTTCAGCTTGGCTTGGCTCCTATTTCAAGCCAAAAAGCACCTGAAAAGAAAACAGATTTTATTTCTGGTATGACCTGGAATATCTAAATATAAACTGTTTCTGTGTTCTCCAGGCTTTTGCTAAAGAAGGAGCCAAAGTCATTGCTACAGATATCAATGAGTCTAAACTGCAAGAACTGGGGGAATATCCAGGTAAATGGCCCTACATCAGGCATTAGTTCAGCTCTTACAAGTTTTGTGTAGGCTGTCTGAGATACATTTTGAGGATAGGAAAGCTTGAAAAAGACAGGAAAAAAGAAAATATCCAGACTAGTTTTTCTGATGTTTGCATTGCTTTTATCCTGAGGTGTGAAAGAACAGAGATTTGCCATGTAAAATATTGCAACATCAGAGTATTATTCCAGACATGTGGAATAACTGATTTTCTTGTGTCACAGAAGAAGTTGATGTTTGCTGGAACAGCACCCATTTCAGTTACCTTTTGCTTTCACTAGGCTAATTATCAGGTGCATCACTCTGGAAGGCATGGGATGTTTTTTTCTCTGATCAAGAGAACATCCCACTATACAAAAAGGTAGACCTAGTGTCTTGCATTTCTATGGTCCATACTTGGCCTGTCCTTTTAATGCATTCCTTACTGTCCTATAGAATCCATATGTCTTCAGAAATGTAATTCTAGCAACACTAGATATGCCTATTCTGTTGGTATAAACGTTCAGGACTGAAGGTTGTTTTTGTACTGCCACCACAGGAACATGCTTCAAGGAGCAGGTTTTGCACAGGTGTGTTTCTAATCACAAGTGGGATATTAGGTTAAAAAGTACTTTTTCAATATTGAAATAAAAATAAGACTTGGGTATAGTTCACAGCTCACAATGCTTCTAACTTGATTTGAGAGAAGAAAGTGGATTTAAAGAATTCCTACTAAAGGCTGACAGTAAAATACACAAAACCACAGCGGGCACAACTTTTAGCATGACTATGAGGCTCTGCCAACTGGAGCTCACAACAAGAAATCCCTTTGTAATTGTTTGGGAACTTGAGGGCTTTTCAGGTTCCTTCTGAGGGTATTTGGGAAAATGTTATGTTTTTTTCCTCTGCTAGTATGCTCACAAGGAAAGAAATAATTTTCCATATACTCAGAGCCATTTCCATCCTTAAGACATAAGATTAGTCAATCTATAATTCATCAAGACTTGGCACTTTGAGGTCTTTGAATTTTATCCAGGAGAGGTAATTCCAATGTGATGTTAATCACCAGCCTGTAGTCTGATCGAATGCACAAATCTCTTCAAAAGTGTCTCTACATTTAACTAAGGAACAGAAAGCCTTTTCATGGAAACCAAAGCTTGTTGCTTTGGTATCAAAAAACCCAGGATTTTATCCATTTCAAATCAAATTCTCCTTTGACAGTACTCAGATGCTTTACAGACAGCTTTACAGTGTTTCATGGAATCATATCTGTTGGGTTAGACTTTGGGAGGCTGTGTAGTTCCATCTAGTGCTCAAAGTGGCACAGGTTAGAGCAGGTTGCTCAGGGCTATGTTTAATTAAGTTCTGAACATCTCTAAGGATGGAATTTCATCTGCAGGACCCTGTTCCAGTGTGACTGCCCTCATAATTTTAATAGTTTATGCAAAATAATTTTTCTTTATTAATTAAATTATATGAAGCTCATTCATAATATCATCAACTACACATGAGAATGTGGCATGTAGTGGGACTGTAAGGCACATATAACTAGTTCCAGGTGTTATTCTATGGTAATGAGTGTGAAAGTTTATTATGATTATATAAGTTCTCTAATTCTTCTGTGTGAGACTATAGTGGAATTCAAATTTATTTGGAATGTTTTTATAGTAAATTAAGCTAGCTCATCTGCTTGTCATGCTGTATAGCAATTAAAACAGTTGATCATTTTAATTCTCTCCTGAAATTTTAAATAGCATCATATGCTGTCCCAGATTAACCGCTGCACTAACTTAATCATTGAGTGAACTGAATTGTAAGTGCTATCCTCAGCACATCAGAAGAATACTCAGCTAATCCTCAATTAAATACATTGAAACAAATGCTGTGTTTTTTCTAGGCATTCAGATACGGGTTCTGGATGTCACCAAAAAGGAGCAGATAGAAAATCTGGCCAAGGAGATTGAAAAGATTGATGTCCTCTGTAACATTGCAGGGTAACCAGAATCTCTTTGATACTACTGTTTTTCCAGTTTTCCCTGTCCTCCAGAACTACCTTCTATTATTTCAATGCATTTTATTTGTTATGTTTTAATGGATTTTATACTCTTAATAGAAACCTCCATGTGTTTCCATCAAAACTGAACTTGTTTGCACAACCACATAACCCAGGCCAGTATAAAACAGCTCTGGAACTTGTGTTTTCCTCACTCTATAGGTACCCTGTACTGATGGCTTTGGCCCTTCTAGCACAACAGTGAACAAAGCCTGTCAGTCTGCTAGTGCTTTTTTTTCTTTTTTTTGGTTCTTCTGTTGCCAATCATTTCATTGCACGTATTGAGTCTGCTTTGTATCCTTGATATTTACCAGAAGAAATACACTGCTGCTTGCATTCTTCAAAGGAGCTCTTATCTCCCTCCTTTAAAGGTTGGAAAAGTTAATTGCTACAAAACAGCGGTGGGAAAAGAGTCACAGGAATGTAAGCCACAGACAGTAATCTACTTCATGCACTCATTCTAGGTTTGTTCATCATGGAACCATTCTGGAGTGTGAGGAACAAGACTGGGACTTCACGATGAACCTCAATGTTCGCAGCATGTACCTGATGATCAAGACATTCCTCCCCAAGGCAAGGCTTGGCTGCCCATGACTTTTAGTCTCTGCTGCATTGTTTAAAGTGTGACAGATCAGAGTTGCTGCCACTGTGGCAGTGCACAAAATACAAGTGTGCCACTTTGGATAGGGGGGCCCTTAGAGTATAGTAATCCTACTATTAAACATTCTCTTCATTGCATAATATTTCAAGTAGACAATTTATCTAAAGGATATGGTAGAGAGGATTTATCTGGGGAGTTGGCATATGTAAACTAGCTAAAATACTTCAGACTTTATGCAGAGCAGTGATGGAGTCATTGCAATACAGTGCTAATGTATTCTACTACAGCACACAGCTGCACAATGCCACTGCTACAAAGTATTAATAAATCATCTATATTAATATGAATTTTGTACAGCTCTGGAGACTATCTTGTGAAGAAATTCAGGGATGCTGATTAGAGCACAACAGCCCAGTGAACGTAGCAGCTCCAAGATGCTTCTTGGTTTTTCCATAATCACTAGGTTTGGGTCTACAAAACCTTGTGGACTGGATGAGGTGCTTGCATTCCCATAAATGCAAAGGCCAGATTTGAAAGCTGTGACTATGACTGGATGACAACTACTATTTTCAGTATTGTTCCAGTTCTTTTTGCTTGATTGGTTTGGTTTTTAGTTTGTTTGGGGGTGGTGTTTTTCTTAGCTGAACTTAATTTTCAAAGTTTGGGGGTTTTTAAGAACTTCAGGCATATCAGATTTTAGGATGCCTAAAAAGGTCGTAAGTTGAAGAAAATTACAATTCATAGATGCTAGAGTGTTGTGCTTTAGTCTTCTCCAAAACAAGAAGAGTTTGAGTGGGATCAGTGAGCTGCTGCATTGGTAGATGGTATGGGCAGATGTCTGTGTGGTGTAACTTCTGTCGTGACAGAGGGCAATGACTGAGAGGTGGCAACCTAGGGAAAAATCCTTTCCTGGCATAGTGTTCAATCCTGACATGGCTCAGGGGAACTGAGGGAGAATTTCAGACTCTGCTTTACTGCTTCAGTCAATGGCACCTACCCATGCCAAATGAGCTTTGTTGCCCTGTGTATCAAGTAGGGCTGTTCTGGGTGTTGCTGTGGGCTGTTTTGCTGAACCTGCAGATGACAAAACAGTTTGCATTTGAGTGACGTAAGCACTCTCTTTGCAGATGCTTAAACAGAAATCTGGAAATATTATAAATATGTCTTCTGTGGCATCCAGCATCAAAGGTCAGTAGCTTGCTAGAGTTCCTTATATAAATCCTTATAAAAATATGTAAATTTATATAGAATTCCTTATAGAAATAAAGGTGATGGATATACAATATAAATATTGTGCCACCTTGAACTTAGAGGACATTCTAAATTCAAAGCTATTTCTAAATCCTGTGGAGGGATCAGTTAGGAAAAAAAAAAGGGAACACATTCAACTCAAACATAAATGCAAGGAGACAGAAAATTGTAGACACTCCAAGATCCTTATCTCTGAGCTTTTGTAATATTTTGTAGCATCCTTTTTACCAGTATGTATTAACTAAAAAGGTATTACTTCCTGTGATATCTTCATACATATGTTCTTCAGAGATATAATGAAGAAATGACAATTATATATAAGTGCTGTAACTATGCTTTCAAAAGAAGCCTGATCATGACTAACAGATGGATTTCTACTGTTCCTAAATCTTTGCTGCTTGTTACATTTTCTAGACAAGTCCCCAGGCTTACACTATTGAAAGATTGTGTGCTTTCCTCTGGTCTATACCTGAGTAGAATTCTGGCAGTTGGCATTCCAGCTAGCCTGCCCTTATGGAGAGGCTACAGCTGCTACAGGAAATGCTGGAGTCCAGAAGCAGGTGTATATTGAACAATCTTGGCTCTTTTTTTCCTTTATAACTCTGTTTCTGTGCTGCCTTGACATGGACCTTCTGTCAGGAGTTGTGAACAGGTGTGCCTACAGTACCTCAAAGGCAGCAGTTATTGGGCTAACAAAGGCTGTGGCTGCTGATTTCATTGAACAAGGCATCAGATGCAACTGCGTATGTCCTGGTAAGTGTTCTTACATTATCCTGTGATCGAGTCTGGCTTTTTTAACAAAAAATAGACTTGCAAGTGGTAACTGATGTTACCAGCAGTCTACAAGAACATAGCAGGCTTGAAAGGCTTAATATAGAAAAGTTGTTGTTCTGTGGTTAAACTGGATGTTTAGTCTGATTAACCTAGTATCTGCACTTTACACATATATTACACAGTAATTGAATGGTTCTTTTCAAAGATGCAGTCTCAGAAGTTAGAAGCAGGCAAGAGCTAGCTAACAGTCTGACCATTGTTTAACCATACAAAAAGTATTGAAACTAATTCTCAAAACTCTTGCCTTCTACAGAAATTTAAAACTCTGTGCTCTGTTGGTGGCTTAGTAGTCTTTCTCCTGAACTATATTGCAAAGTTACACATATGTGTTAAGACATACAAATAGAACAAATAAACTTTTGTTGTGATTGCTGATGCAGTTGATTTTTAACACTGAATTTAAAATTTTGCTTAGGAACTGTTGACACACCATCTTTACAGGAAAGAATCCAAGCCCGGCCTAACCCAGAACAGGTGAGAAAGCAATTTATTAGCTTGGTCACAAGTATATATGTTTAACTCTCTTTTAAAAAAGAACATATAGTTGCACTTCTGCCCATATTCAAGAATGTCCTCAATTTCAGAGTACTGTGCATAACTTAACATTGCTGTCTCCTTTGAAAGTGTGGTCAGCTTAAACTCGAGACAGAAGCCTTACAGCCAGACCAGAACTGAAGCCTCAGAAGGATAATATTGGTTAGTGAAGGCACAGGGGATCTCATCCAGGGAAGCAACTTCAAGTGTTGGTTACAGTATCCAGTGCAAAAGCAGAGGACATTTTCCATTGTGGCATGTGTCAGCCACAAGGAGTGCAAAAATAGCACAGACAGAGCATTCTGGCCTGTGCATTTCCACATTATTTGGGATGCTTAACCATCATTATTAGATAATGGTAAGTTCTCATTTGAAGGACATGGGAATATCTACCACCAAAGGAAGAAGGATTTAATGTTGGCTTTATTCTAGAATCAGAGATTTTGCTGCTTTCTAAAAGTCTCCTTATTTTTTTCAACCTGAAATTCACATCCCTGTTGATTTTATGTTTTTCCAGCTTTAATTCCCTACTTAGTGTCCTAAAGGAAGTTATGACTAGAAGCCTGTTTCCAATACTGCTTTGTAGATGTCAGTAGGTAAAAATAATTGGGTTTTATTTTTGATATACCAAATGCTCTTGCATATCCAGGCACTGAAGGACTTTCTGGCTAGACAGAAGACTGGCAGGATGGCTACTGCGGAAGAAGTGGCCCATCTCTTTGTGTACCTGGCCTCTGATGAAGTAGGTATAGACAATGAAATGTCCTGTCATAGAATCCCATACTACTTTGTAACTTCCCAGTAAAGAGGGTATTTGTTTCAGGACAATTTCCATTCTCTTTGAGCTGGATTATAACAAAAATAAAAACCAAACTATGTTCTTTTACTGAGTTCATCCTGCAATACAAAAGGTGTTCAGAATGTTGACAGCGATTGCAAGGCATTATGTATTTGGTGCCATAGCCTGGTGGTTGCATGTCACCTGAGCAAACTGACTGACCCCAGGTCATCCTGAATGGTGAACAAAATGAGCTTGTCAGCTTTACCAAGCTTGCACCATGGCTAGATCATGTTTTAAGGAGGTAGAATTAGTAGAGCTGCTGGAGATTTTAGCTAATGCTCAGGGTGAATCTGCCATCTCCCAGCATAAGGAAAACAACAGACCCACTGTGGATGTTACACACCAGATTCCAGATGACCACTGCAAACAGCACCAACACTAACAAGCACACACCAATGTTATTTCAGCTGCTATGAATTTACTGAGACTAGAAACTGGACTGGATTTGTCTAGACATGTCCAGCAGTCCTAATGTCCATGTCAAAATACTTCAGTGGATTTAGTTCAGTATTAACGTTGCTATCTATCAGTAGTCTGTTTCTCAATTTCATCTTGGGTTTAGTATTTCCATAATGCTAATAATTTTTTCCAGTCTGCTCATAGGGTTTTCAATGGTGTGTAAACAGAATTCCATTTTTTCAATGTATTCAGCATGTTTCAGCAGTGACATAAGGAAGAATGTCAACAGTTCAGTTGCTTACCCCACTATCCATATAATCTAAGTTTTTAGTTAGGTCCCATTATAATTATTGGCTGACCTGGTCAGATTCTGCTCAGCTGAACAGACCTAATAACATCACAGTGTGAGGTATTTACTCCTGCAGGTAAGATATCTAAAGTCTAGCTTTTTTAAATTTGTACTCTCAGGATGCATTCTCATCTTAATGCCTCTAGTAATACTTTTGCCACACTTCCTTGAATTAAGTAAAAGGCTTCAATTTCTGTTTGTTTCTATTTAGATATTATATTACTTACTCAGGTATTTTTGTAAAACAAAAAAAGCATATTTTTTAATTTAAAGAAAGTGTTTCCCTATAATTAATAGCCATGAAAAATTACTTTAAATCATTGTTTATTTTATGTAATTTCAGTCTGCCTATGTGACTGGTAATGAGCTAATCATCGATGGAGGATGGAGCTTGTGATTGACTCTACCTGCAAATGGAAATTCATGCTATGATGGGCAAAAAATGAGGATGGTGTTTCTTGCCACGATTGAGATCATGCATGTGATGTCTTTCCAAACAAATTTGCTATTTCTAGATTGATCTTACTGATTAACTTTTCCTTAATAGAGAAATAGTGGAGTAAAACATACTTCATGTGGCTTCAAATTATGGCAGCTCCAAAAACATGAAAGAACAGCAGTTTAATGTTTAAGATTTCAGGAGGCCAAAAATATTATTCAAGTTACAAAATCTGAGTTGTGTTTTAAGCAAAATCTGAGTGAAAGGAATTAGCTATTATATTTAGTCTCATCTTACTAGGTATTTGGAAATTAAATACAATTAAATACTTACAAGAACAACTATGGAAGGGCAATACTCTAGCAGGTATGGATGGGGGTATATGTGAGAGGAGTACTCTTAAATATATGGGTGGATTTTCAAGAATATGCTTGACTTGAAGCACAAAAGCAAAAGGAGTGGATTTTACCACTCTAGATAGAGCCAATATATTTGTCTCCAAAATGATGAACTAATATTGGACAAATTCTGTAAAATCTGTTGCTAGGTGCTACACTGTGGTGCTCTATGCCTTATTCTCAAGTACCAATACAGCTCACACTAAAGCACAAGGCAAAATTTCTCTGCAAAGGACTGTTTCTACAAGAGTATGTGCTGATGTTTTTATTGTGATAGAACATGGTAGCTTTGATTAATGAAATAGAAACCTATTATTGTCAAGTTTCATACTCTGGGAAAAAACATATGTCCTGTCCCAGAGATCTAAGGCAATGAATAACCTGAAGTCACAAAGCATTTGTTTTGCTAACATGCTGCTTAAAACCAACATGAATTACAGGGTCTGACTGTCATGGTTACCTTTAACATTTATCTAGTTCATAAATGCAACTCTATGTAATTTAATACATATCTTCATATATATTATAAACATATATATGTGAGGGAGCAATTAAGGACTAAATGCTACTTAATATGATTCATCAGTAATCAAAGCACAGGAAAAATGTACAATGTTGTTTGTGTGTTTCTGTAACAACTGCCATGTTTATAAAATTATTGCTTAAGCTTTTCAATATCAGCTGAAACATTAATATAAATTACTTGATTTCAAAGATAATGAAACACATCTAGTTAACATCTTGCCTCTTATTTTAAAATTATTGTATGTAAATCTAAATTTTACTAATGAGAAAAATATTGTGAATGTTGGCTTTATTGGGCTCATTATGGGCTTAACATTTACCTTTAATCATGGTTGGAGCATTCTGACCTTGTGTAGTTTGTTTATGGGGTTTTAGAGAATCTAACATTTCAATCAAGTGACCCTGGCAGCCAAGCAGGATCAAGTTGGGACACAAATCCAAAATGGCTCCAAAAATGTTCACTGACATAAATGCAAAATATTAAAAATTGAGGCTGGCAGGACACAATTTCAATGGTTTCAGAGTTTAATATGAAGGCCTAAGTCCTTTTGTAGTAGGTGCATAGGCTTACCTTGAAAAGAGAATTTCCCTATTGCAGTAACACGGGGAACATGTACTGTGTATTCTGAAAATATAATTAAGAATATGAGATAAAATTCATTATACTTATTGCACATTAACCATCCTTATTTAACATTTCTAAACTTGCTTAGAATTGTAGTATAGGGTTGCTGCTCAAAAATGGTTGCTGCTGCTGTTGTGGTCAAAGTACTTGTGCAAGAAAATAAGTACCACTTGCCTTTAAATTGCACTAAAGGGCACAAAAGGGTTTTTTTTTAGTGGTAGGCCAAAAATCTGGTGGACCAGAAAAGTATAAATCAGCAGAGCTTGCTGCCTCTTGCCTTATTAGCAGTGCTTTTCATGGAGGTGTTAACAGTTGCAACTCTGAAATGTGTTCCAATGTCATGAGGTTTTTCAGCAGACTTGCAGGAATTATTAAAGGAAAATGCTTCTTAATGCTCTCATGACCTAATTCCCTGGTCTGTTTTTAATGGAATTGGGAATTCTCTTTGTTTTCCTTCCACCCTAGTGATAATATAAAGAGGCTTTTTGACTTTTCAGATTCTAGGTCAAACTTTTCTCTTGTGGGGGCGGGAGAAATAGACTTCCCTAATTCTGAGTCCTTCTGGAAAATTTAATCTGATCAAAAATGCTTTCATTTTCTCTTGGATTTGTAGTCAGCTTAGTTCTTAGTTCTGTGCTAGTTTGCCAGGAGCAAACTAGCAACATGTGGCATTTGACTCTGCTTTCACATGGACTGAGTGCAGCTTGCAAATTTAGAGTTGAGAAAAAGAGAAGGTCTGAGAGAACATCTCATTACCTCATGTGCACTTACAAATGGTGTGGATGAATTTGCTTTAAGAAGTCAAAATGCCAGGATGGGAACAACATAAATATGCAAGTTGTGTTTGTTTGGGGTGGTTTTGGGGACTGGTTGGTTGGGTGGGGTTTTTTTTTAAATCTCCTGCCTGCCCCAGTGCATTTTGTCTGTGCGTACCCAGAGCAGAATCAGCAACAGCTCCTTACCCTTTCCTTGCATCTCATCTCCAACCTCTCCAGTGCCGAAGTCTGGGTTAAAGGATGGTGTGTAGCTTCCCTATGCATTCTCCCACAGCCATGGGAAAGGCAGCACAGAAAGCCTTTTTCGTGTGTAGCAGATGCAGTGAATCTCATGGGGGACTGGCTACAAAAGAGACAAAAATCTTCCTCCTGGGTGCCCTGACGGCTGTCCAGAGCCTTGGCTGGGCTCAGGATCGTCCCATCGCTCTCACCAACCTGACAGCACGGACCATGGCCCGTCTCCTGCCGCCTTTCCCGCGGTGACCCATTCAGCAAGGCCTGCGGGAAGCCCTTGGGGGCATCCCCAGCTGCAGCTGCCGGCCTGGCGGAGCTGTGGCGGTGGAGGGAGGGCCTGTTGCGCCAGCAGCAGCATTAGCAGCGGGGGAGGAGGAGCCGGAGCCGAGCAGCGGGGCTGTCCCCGCTCGGGCCACGCCGGCAGAGGCTGAGGGGAGCGGGTCCCTGGCTGAGGCCCCGCTGTGCCGCGGGTGAGTGCTGTGCCCCCCTGGTCTCGCTGCAGCCCATCCCCTGAGCAGGAGGGGTGACCGGGGGTGCGAGCGGAGAGCGGGCTTGGCCGGCAGGAGACTGCTCCCGGGTCTACTTGGCGCCTTTTTGTGGATAATGATGGTTTGGGTGTTTTAATCGTTGTTTACTCTGAGTGCCGGTTGCTGCGTGGGGTTTGCGGTATTTCGTGTGCGTGGCTTTCTGTACTTGCTGTGTGCAAAGCAGAGCGCTGACAGTCACCGACAGCTCCTGCTGTAGGCGTGCATGTGCTGTCCCTGTCAATCAGCTCTCCCTCACTACCCGTTCAAAAACAACTGGAACGAGCGGATCTAGTGCAAACCTTTCCGCTTTCCATACGAGAAAAGTGTCTTTTACAGAGAGGTACTAAAATAGGTCTCTTACTGGCTGGTTTCCATGGGATAGCCTTAACCCTGAGATAGAAATTCCTCTCAGTGATTTCTCAATCACTGATTTTTGTTGGCATAGAAGGTGGAATTGAAAAACGAAAACAACCCCCCTACCCCACAAAACACCCAAAATCTGTGAGTTTCCCAAAGACCCATGCTGGCATAAGTACAGTAACTACTCACTTTGGTCCTGTTGATCCAAAGGACAGTTCTTGGAGGTAGGTTCTTGATCCTGCCAACAGGGTGAAGACCTGCCACAAACCAGATAAGGACAGCACTGTCAGGTTTGTTATTCATTCCCTGAAGCCATCCTTGTTAAACAGAACATTCGATATCCCTGCTTAGTCCATCTTGCCTGTCCCACACACTGCTGTGAACAGCACTTGCAGGAGCTGAAGCTGTGGCGAGGTAGACTTCCCCTTCTCAGAAGTGTTAATTAATCAGTTAACTCTTAGAAGCATTAATTAATTTTGTGTCAACAGCTATGTGACTGATCTGGGATGTTGCCTGTGCAGAGCTGGATGGAGAATGATATCCTTCTGTCCTTTGCTTGCACACAAACCAAGTGCAAAATTAAGTATATAAAACCACCCTGGGAAAGTGGTCAGTGAAGGGAAGGAGGGAGGCACTGGTAGCTGGTACTTTCTGTTCCAGTTAGGAGGATTGGCATTTGTGGATTCCCAGTCCCAATGAGAGGATAAAAAAAAACAAATCAAAAGTATCACCAATGTCATTAAAAAGCCTAAAATTCTAAAACCACAACTATTTGGTTCTGCAAGTATTAATTAAAAATACAGAAAAGTACTGAAAATTGGGTAAATAAGCACTTTACCTTTAAATAGGAAAGAAGGAAAAAGCAGAACTATTAACTTATAACACACTGAATGTGTTTGCCTATAGCTCTGTATTCTGCTGTGCCTTGGTTATGCCTCAGGCCAGAGGCATAGCCAAGTTGTTCATATCAGAACAGCTCAAACAAAACCTCATAGGTCTTAGAATGGCCCTTTTCTTTATGGTATCAGCCCTTCCCAAATATCAAATATTTCATTTTAAACTTGAGGCTTGATAATTGTGAGAATCAGCTCTGACTTCCTTCCAACTATCTAGCAAGGAAGGAATTTCTTGGCTCAGAAGCTCTGGGTAACTTCACTGATGTTTTATATGGCCAGAGGAGTTTAAAAGACTTCAAAGAGATTTAGCTGATGGAGAATATGTACCAGCCTTTGCTGTAAGAAAGAACACTATCAAGTCTTGTCTCCAGATATATGTCTGCCCCCCTTGATGGCTCACACTTGTGAAACTACAGTAAATATGTGCACCAAAAAAATCTGACATACAAAACAGTGCACTGCCATATTTCTTGTTAGAATCTATGGGACAAGTAGTGGACCAGTTAGAGTTGAGCAAATACAATGGTAACTATCCACAATTGACTTGGATCTTACTTCCCACTCTGAGAAGTACCTCCATGGGATATAATCAGTAAAAAAAGAGCCATGTTTGTTCAGGCTTCAAGCTGTGAAAAGTCCTGATCTTTATTCAAACAGGCATCTTCACTTTCTTAGATACTCAGTCAATGTGTTTGTAACTAGTAGCATCTAGAGAAAACACATTGTTAAAATTCCTCTGAAAATCAACCAGGATCAATCAGGCTTAATTTAGGGGAAAAGTGTCCCCTCTTGAAGCTTTAGAAACCTCTCAGAGTTTTAGAAACTATAGTTGTTCTAATTTCATTAAATGGTCACTTGCACTGATATGTACACAGGACCTGTGACACTTTCAGAATGGTCCTAATGGTCCTGCTGAGTGGACAGCAAATAACCTTTAATATGTGCTGAAAGGAGGCACAAATACATAAAGATTACAGCTGTGGTTTTAAGAAGGAATGAAGAGGTTAGCACAGATAATTGCGATTCTAAAACTTTTTTTTTGGTTTTGTGGGTTTTTACTGGGGTTTTTTGTGCTTGAATTTCTAAGCTTAATACAGTTCTTCAGTTAGTTTCTGTCTCTTGTTCTTTGGCACAGCATACAGAGGGACACAAAAATCATTAAACTTGAAATTTGATGGGCTGAGAAGATTTTTCTACACGGTCTGTGGGAAAAGACATCACTGAGAAGTCATCCATTTGGAAAACAGTGTTTATTTGCTTCTCTGTAACTTTTCCCCCTTTATTTCTTTCTCTAGGTTTGCAACAATGGTAAGGGAAGATGTAAATGATGGTGAAGATTCTGAACCATCAGTGTGTGAGAGAAATGGCATGATTCCCATGCATGAGCAAAGTGAGGTAATTAACTAAGATCCCAAAGTATTATTCTAGTCAGAGAGAACTCTCCTTTCCTTTTTTCCTTTTTTAAGAATAAAATTCTTAATCTAAAAGGCAGCACTTAAAAGTAAGCATATAGTATTGAGTGTATCTCATAGAGATGTCTGTATGGCACATCTTTATGCACATGGTGATCACAGAATCATGGGGTAAACAAGTCACTCCATTCTGAAAGCTCATGAGATTTGTGTTCCAGTCATGACACTGAGTAAGGAAAAAAAAAAAAGATACATATATATTCAGAGAGAGAGAGGGAGAGAGGAAAAAGACAGAAAAATAATCAGAAATGTGGAACTACTACTGGAGAAGAGCCAAACCACATTATAAGCAGAATTCCATGTCTACAGTATGACAATATGCTGACATGAATAATCATACAGGAAGGGAGATGATTAACTTGTCAAAAATAATGCTAAAATTAAGTGAGACATATCCAAAAATGGTCAAAAAGTGCTTTGCTTATGAATATGGATAAGTAGATGTACAAGTATAAGAGAACAGCTTCAAGGGAATGACTCCCAGTTACAGTATTTCTCCATCTCTACTTTGACTTACCAGCTTGAGCCTTCCAGCAATGGATCATGTGAGTAAAGCTTGTGCTGGCCAGCTGTGCTGTTTCTTTCATCTTTGTTTTGTAATTTTGGTTCCAGACTTTGCAACAGTAGTTATTAAGGAGTTATATTAAAAGTACCATCTCACTGGAATGATGCTAATCATTAATTCTATTGTGAAATCCAGTCTGGAAGCAGAATATTAACAAATTGTAGAAAATATTAATAAATGTTTAGTTGTGTATACAAGACAAGCTGAGCCTGGCCTGGCCTGCTATTATTGTTTCTTCATCAAATATGCAAATATTTTTATTGCACAGGTGCTATATCTGTTGGGACAGGAGCCCTGTCAGGTGCAGATAAAAAGGCAAATGTCCTGCAATTTCTCACATAGAGTTCTTGGTGCAATGCAGAAAAACAAACACAGGGCCAAAAATGCCAGAATTACATCAAAGCTGGGCATTCCTATAGTGGTTGTTCAGTTAATGTGGTTGCCTGTAGCCAGTGTGGATCCAGTGCATCTCAGCAGACTTCAGGTTGTGCTCACTGCTTCAAACACACACAGTGCCACTTCTGAGGGAGTCTCCTTGTTTGCCTTCAGCAGGAACCAACAGCAGGTGCCAAAGGTACTGATGGGAATGCACAAACAGAAGAAACTGCTCTCTTAAACCACTGCACTCAGCAACCTCCAGAGCCAACAGCAGGGTCTTCAATACCTGCAAGAACATGGAGGCAAATATTTGCTTGTCCTCCTCAGGGTTTACTGGCCCAAACAGTGACAAACGGTAGGTAAGAGACACAGAGTTTAATTAAAAGGAGAAGTGGCGAAAGAAGTACTTGTTTCTCTGAATGGGATGATATCTGTCCACTGTCCTTGAAAATAGAAATAGCTGTGTTTTACTTATCACACCATTGTTTGAATGTTTGAGCCAGAGGGGAAAAAAAAAGATGAAACAAATGTTTGAATGTACAGTTTTTGTTTCTCCAGTCTCATATGTTTACTATGGTAGGAATGTTTTTGCACTGCAAACTATTTTTATCAGAAGAAAGACCTCCTAATTTTTGCCTTGATAGTTTGTCCTTAGTACTACAGGCTTGCAAAGGCAAACTGGTCTATTTTATTTAGAATTTGTTCTAAACTGAGAACTCCCAAAAGAGATGCCTGGCTAGCTAATTATTTGAGATTTTTCCTAACAAAAGACATTTCATGTGTCTTTGATTGCTTCCACAGCCACTTGGAATTCTTAAGCTTTTATGTTTGGAAATCTACTGGTCTTCCTTTGCCCCCTGTCACTCTCAAGTAAGATTAAGAAAACTCCAATTTGAAAATGCAGGACATTTTTTTCTTCTCCTTCAGTCTCCTGTTTTATATGTATGCATGCCTGTTCTCGTTGGGCAACTGTTGGAACAGATTTGTGAACCTTGAAAGAGCAAATGTTTTCACATATTTTATAATATTTTCACACACTGTTCCCATAATATTTTTCAGAATTTTTCCCCCTCTGTATTATCCTGCTTTGATTGCTGTATCAAGGAAAGTATTTTACTCCAGATGTCCAGAGACATGACCCTCTTCACAATTTTTTTCCCAGGGAAAACAATGTATTGCACAAACACATTCAGCCAAAAAATTATGCTTCAATTATTTTAAAAATTAGACTGGAGCTGCATTCATCAGCTTGAAGATAGAGCCAGGCTATTCAACAGTAGATTTTACTGTGGTTCTGAAGTAGCTGAAAGAAGATAAGCAAATTCAAGATAAGTTAGTGAAAGTCTTTGCTTTAAGTTTGGAACCTGTGAAGTGCTTTTCACAGCAGACAAAGGCTCACTAAATTTATTTAATGATGTTCGTGTTGTTACCAATTTTAAAATACTTTAGCATCTATAAAATCAGAACATCAGTTTGGGGACCATCAAAGATTAACTACATTGTTATGAGTAAATTAATTTTTAAGGTAAGTTTTATTTCTAAAAGTCATGGCTAACGTTTTTCTTCAATAGCAAAACAAATATGACCTAACAGCAAAGTTGTTGCTAAGAGATTATTAAGTGTTAATTATTTTTTGTTTTGTTCCAGTTGCATTTGTGGTTCTGGTTTGGGCAGTGGTTTGGTCCATAACTGGGGCTGAGTGTCTCCCAGGTGGAAATCTCTTTGGAATTCTGTTTCTTTATTTCTTTGCTGTCATCGGAGGTAAAATTTTTGGATTCATTAAAATAGGAACACTACCCCCTCTCCCCGCTCTTCTGGGTAAGACATCCTTCCTTCTTTTCTTCCTGCATATTTTGTGTTGTCAAGTAGTATCTGTATGGGTAGATGTGTTTGGATTGGGAACAAATAAACTATGTCACATTCAAAATCTGTAGCATTTCCAAATGACTTTTTCTGGTCCTCCCTGAGAAGGTGCAAAGTTCCCCAGACTGGCTCAGGTAAAATTACCCAAGGCTCTCTTCTTAATTCTTTGTGGGTCAGAGAACTGCTTGCCTACAGACTTAAAGTTTATTGTCTTTGGGGTTAATAATACCAAACAGGAATCTTAATCCAGACATCATTTTACAGTAATCTCTTTGTAAAATTATTGCTGAGCTGTTTCTTTAGTACCTCACACAATGAAAATGTTTCCCAAAGAAAACTTTATGACAATTCCCTGCTACTGGTAGTCCAAAGGATTTCTTTCTTCACCTTCATCTCAAGATAATTGAAACCTGAGAAAATAAATTCACAACAAGGAATAGATCTTCTGCAGAGAGTTATTCTGATTAAATCATAACTTTTTTTTTCACATCAACATCCTATTTTATGTTACATAGAAATGCAAAATAGAAATGGGAGATGAAAATAATCCTAACATCTTTAGAATCTTTTCTGGTTTCTTTCCTAGAGGAGGTTTTATCCTCACTTAGATAAGTACAATATTTTGAAGTGCTGTGATGTCAGTGGAGCTGGAAATGAAGCTCCAGGTTCTTCTCCCCAGCTGTATGCTGTCCCCTTGCTATGTTTAGTGCATAAATGAGTAAAGCTGCTGACAGACAGTAAAACTGCTTGGCAGGGTGGGCCAGGTGTGGCTCTGTAGCCTGCACAGCTGGTGCTGTGCCTCACACAGGAGCTCCTCACATGGCTCTGTCCAGGCAGCCTGTGTGCTCTTGTGCTGTTTAGTTTCACCAGAGGAAAGAAATTCAAATGAGAGGGAGGGAGGTTTTGCATATGGCATGCATGCCTGCAGTATGAACACGGAATGTCACATGCAGAGAGTCTGCCCTTTCTAAGTAAACACCCCTCTTAAACAAATAAAAGTATTTCTGACCATTTGGGTTCTGCTTGTTTGGGAGTTTTTTAATTACATCTGTATCTGAAAGTTACGAGTTGAGCATGAAACTGCTTGTCAGACAGGTAATACTGGACAGCAGAAACTTCAGCATGACAGCACATGTCTCTTGGGTTGTTTAGGACAGAGTTCATTGTTCTTATCCCCAGTCTTTGAGGAAAACTGGAGAAATCTATGACTCAGAAGACAAGCAGACAATGTCTACAAATATTCTGATTTTACATTAGAAATTCAAACCACGTCCTCTTACATGCCTATAATCCACTTTTGCTAGGTCCAGTAGAGTGTAAGGTGGCTGGCTGAGCACTTAAGCACCTTATGGTGAGCCTCTCTCAGGAAAAAAGAAATGATATTAGTACTGAAACAACCATTTTAGGTGCACATTGCAGAGAGGTTTCTGCAGCAGGAGCCATGGAGCAAATCAATTAAGGTATCCTTTGAGGTGGAGATTTTTGCTTTGTTAAATAGATTCCTGGATCAGGGTAGCTCCAGTGACTTGGACCTCATGCAAATGTTGCAAACAGCATGTGATCACGCTGCCAGCCTCGTATAATTGTCATGAGGTACCACAAATTAATTATGACACTGGTTTTTTTTTTCCAAGATGTGGTGGAAAGAACAATGTCTGAAAGTTTAGCATCCCAGGACAAATCAAGTTCACAGTCAAGGCTCACACTGAGCTGGGACCAACCTGAGCACAGTGATTTGTTTACTTTTTGGGTTTTTTTAGTTTCCTGTTTCTAAACATGACTAATATAAAATTATGCCACAAAAATGTACCTTTGAATCATCAGGACTCACAATGAATCCTCTGTAGATCCGTATTTGAAGTCAACTTTTCCAGTACTTTTCCATATACTTCCAGAGCTGTGGCTTCAATAGCTTTGCAGGAAGTCTCTGCTTGGATAGTTTTACTAGTATTTGTAAAATGTTGTGTCTTTCAAGTAGCTCAAATAGAGAATAAAACAAAGTTTCTGATTTCCCTTCCCTTCTTTGTCCCCTCTTTGTGTAAGAGTCCTATTGCCAGAGCACTTGAAAATGTTTAAATTAGTCCATGATGAGCTGGTTTAGATTATATATCCTATTGAATGCAGCATTATGGTTCCTGTGTTACCTGCATTTCTTACACCTAAGAGGATTTTTAACAATTCCCAACTTCTGAGATAAATGCACAATATTAGATGATCTTCCTATTTTTATATTAAAATAAGCTAACAAGAAAAGAATCTAAGAATGCAGAGGTGTCTTTGCTTATGCTAAGTATGACCTGCACCTGGTAAACAAAGTTCTTTTGACTCAGACTAAAGCTGTGGATCAGCATCTTGCTAATTTATTAATTGATGACCTGCTGGGTTCTGAGGCCACTTTCACTGCTTTAAATGTGTTTATCTCTTCTCATGCCTCAGTCCCATTGTTAAAACATGGCTAATAATTTGGGATACAAATTATTTCTTTTTCTCTCATAAAAACATGATATGGTGTCTGTTTAAGAGTGCTTTTCTTGTGCAATAAAAATAATTTGACAGGAGCTTATTTGTTTTGACTTAAGGGATGCTACTTGCTGGTTTCCTAATCCGAAATACCCCGTTCATCAGTGACTTTGTCCAGATAAACCTACGCTGGTCTGCAGCACTGAGGAACATCGCTCTTTCCATTATCCTGACCCGAGCAGGACTCGGCCTGGATCCAAAGGTATGGCACCAGCCGTTTGTGTGTGGCAGACTATACAACAGCAATCAAAAAAACCTGAATAATTGGTTCCATTAAAAATATTGAACTGCTCGGTCTTGGAGCATCTGGAAATTAGATCATTACAGAAAGCATAATTACTGTTGTATAATTATATTCTATGGTAATATTGGTAGTTGGATTTGTACAGTAGGCAAGTAATAAAAAAAAAAATGAAGAAAAAATTTTATTATTATTTTAATTTCCTGAATTTTGTGAGTGGAACATATGGAGGATGTGTGCACTGTCAAGGTCTGTCAGGAAGAGTTTACATTCCCTGACCAACTCTCTGTTAGTTTATATTGAAAATTTGAAGCAATGCAAGGGATCCCCAGTCCTTGAAAGACAATGTTTTTGAAATCCCAACCAAACAAAAAAGTCCCTGTGGGACTTTTTTATACTTTTTTTTTTTATCATTGCCATTTTAATGTAATTATGTTAATTACAAAGATGAATCCTGCTGCACTACTGAAATAATGATTCTCACCACAATGAAGCCAATAGCAGTCCTGTGAACAAAAAAAGTCTCTGCACCCTGAGAAACATGATACTTCATAAATTGATGAAGGCAAGGTTTTGCTTATTTAAAATGAGCTGGCTGCAGTAAAGCTGTGCCATACTGTTGAAACAGCCTCCCTGTTGAAGGAACCACTCAGAGTTTATATAAAACTTAGATAAAGTGTGGGTAGTTTAGAACATCTAAACTCATTTCTCTTAACCAAGAAAAACTGCAGGGAAAAACTACATTTGCTACAGTTATTTAGGAAAATAAGGTTTTGTCAATATTGAAAAATATCTGTTGTCCTGTATTATCATCATCCTCTTTTCCAAGACATTGAGGCTTGTAGGAGCATGAACTCTGTGTTGTTAGACACAGTTTGGATGCCCAGTTCTGTGAGACTGCATTTCTATTTATAACAACTTTTTTTGCTGAGGGAGCTTCATTTTTGACTCCTTTTTCTTCCATGTGGTAAGAAAACTGCTGCTTGGACTCTGTATGTGGCAATGCTTTGATGCAGTTACAATTTTTCCTCGTGTAATTGAAACTCTGAAGACAAAGAAGTCAGTTTCTCTTCTCAGTCCCGATTATGCTGGGATAAACTGGACCGGTAAAAAATGGAACTCACTGATTTTTTATTTCTTTTTTTTTTTTAATTTCATATCAAAATTAGGGACCTGTCCTAGCAGATTCATGTTTGTGACTAACTGTTAAAGCCAGCTGTTAGAAGCAAATATCCCAGTTTAGAAAACTTTTTTTTAAAAGTTGCTGAGCTCAAAAGGAGCTTAATCTCTGAATATCAGGTAAGAGACAGCTGAAAGATGCTTGGCTCCTTGTGCCAAGTTGATGTAGTTCTATAACTTTTCATGATTTGTTCATAGATTTTGGGGCAATTTTGGGGGCTGCTCATGCAACTTCTGGGATTATAGTAAAATCTTTTGTGGATGGAGCAAATGACAAGAAGCCAAACAGAATTTTCTGTTACTATTTCCTGTGACATTCAGGAACCTTATCAAACCTAGATTCACTGCCACACTTAAAATTTTATATCCAAATCCGGTTGGGCTTGGGCTTATCTCTAGTTTAGGCCATGTCATGTCCTATAGTGCAGCTCAGACAGGATTCTTTAACAAGCCATGTCAGATTGTAAATGTTTTTCCTCTCTGTAAAGCCAAGGGTTCTGACACTGTTGTGCCTGTATGATTGCAGGCTCTTAAGAAGCTCAAAGCTGTCTGTTTACGGCTTGCTTTTGGACCGTGCCTCTCAGAAACAGGCACAGCTGCTGTCCTTGCCTACTTGTTCCTGCATTTGCCATGGCAATGGGGATTTATATTAGGGTAATGTACTGCCTTTTCTCCTCTATGACAAAAGTGCTGGTTTCCAGGCTGCAGCTCAGTGATCCAACTGTGGTTAGTTCTCTGTGCCAAGCAGAGACCTCAGTTCAGTGCCATTTGGGAAGCTGCACTCAGCCCCTCTGGTCTTCTGCTTACCCTTTATGTCTGGCTCTGTGGCTTATTTAAAGGTCATATTTTCAGGCTGCAGAGGAGTACTTGCATCATTACTTTTCTGTGTTTGTGACCTGAGCACTTGAAGAAAGAAGGATGGTGCAATCCCTGAGTCTTGAACCACAACAAAGGGGGCTTTTAGGGACAGCAAATTATACCACAGTTTGGACAATCTTCATACTGGAATTCAGAACTTCCATACAGAGAGATACACATAGGACAGCCTTCCTGTCACAAGTCAAGGACAAGGATATGGCATAATACATTCTAGAGTAACACCCTTAAAGAGAAGACCTTTTCCATCTAGTCCTATCTTAATTGGTGGAGTTGGGCCAGACCCATACACTAGAACAAGATGGGTGAACTCCTCCTCTGACACGTGCTGAATTTTATGAGAAGGAACTGGGCTGCTGAGTCATAAGCACGTCTAGACCAGGTTTCCAAATGGGACAATCCAGGCGTCTGTCAGGGAGCATAACTGGCCTGCAGTGGAAACTCCAGTTTTATCCTGTGGAGCCTTTTACTTTTAATGTTACTGAGTTGGGCAGAAAGTAAGAGCTGATTGCAGATCTGCATAGAAATATCCCTGCATGTAATTAGAGGGGAAAGGTTAGGAAAATGCTTTACATAAAGGTCTACTTATTTATACTTCAAAAGAATTAAGGTCAGAACATTTTGAAGTTTTTTTTAGTTCAGTACTTTCTTTTTGAGATGCTGAACCTGTGTTTTTTCAGTTTTGTTCTAGGTGCAGTCTCCCCTGCTGTGGTGGTTCCCTCCATGCTGATTTTACAAGCTGGGGGATACGGGGTGGAGAAAGGTGTCCCAACTTTGCTAATGGCAGCTGGCAGCATCGATGACATTCTGGCTATCACAGGCTTCAACACTTGCCTTGGGATGGCTTTCTCTTCTGGTATGCTGGTTAATCTCTACATAATGAAGTGCAGAACAGTGATATTTTGGAGAATGTGTGCTCTGTTATGGCTGACTGGTTTAATGGCATCTCATTATAAAAGTCATGTATAGCCTTAAATTCTGAGATGGAAATTACCCATGTTCAAAAGTTGGTGTAACATGGTCAGCTCTGAGTTGTGGGTCACAACAACTTTTAGAGAACATTTTTCCCTGACTGCTCCCTTACTTGCCAAGTCTGGGCCCTGCATGCCCAACATGATGCTTTTAAATTTCACTGGGTTTGGCAATGTTCTTACAGTGGCTCTTTCTCTGACTTCTCTTGCACACTTTCTTGGCATGAGCTTCCAGAGAAAGAAAGTTGCACCATCCAGTGTCTTCAGGCCCATAGGTTCCCTCCTGAACTCCTTTGCCCCAAGTAATTTAAAGCAGACACTGTCCTGGAATCACCTCATAGGTCTGGAGCATGGTTTGAGTGAAGCTCTGTGAATGGCTTACTGAATGTGTTTTCCTTTTGCAAAATAGGTTCTACTCTGTACAATGTGCTCCGTGGAGTGCTGGAGGTCACTGTTGGAATAGCAGCTGGGGGAATTCTGGGAATGTTTATTCGATATTTCCCAAGCCATGATCAGGTAAAAACCTAGTTTAAAAAAAATTACAATCAAGTGATTCTTTGCTAAGGGATTATTTTCTTTAGTTATTAATTTCCAACTTCCTGTGAAGCTGGTTTTGGGGAAAGCTTTTTACAGTGCTAGCAGCTTCCAGATTGCAAACGTATCAAGTGAGGATGTGTTTTAAAGGTGATTATTTATTTACTGCACCAATAATAATGTATGATCTCATAGTCCTCCCTGATGGAAGTTAGGAACCCAGCTCACCATCCTGCTCTCATTGAAGGTAGTGGAAATGGAGGAAGGGTCTGATACCCATTTCAGACAGTAAAATAATTCATTAGATTGATAAAGACACATGTACTTCTTTAGGATGTATCCAGTAGGATTAACAAAGCAGATGTATTAGAGGTTTTAAGTGATTGAATATATCGTAAGTATTAATTACAATGTGTTACTTTCCATAAAAATTACATCTATAGAAAGTGCTATAGATGAATTTTCTATTGAGGGGTAATTAAATGAACAGAAAATTGTGGAAGAATGTAGATACGCTCTGGACTACCAAAGTCGATATTCAGAGCATCTATTGCCCTCAGTGGCATCAAATTTGTTATTAAATAATGTAAGAAGTGTGATATGAGAGCTAAAGAGTTAGATAGATATGAGGAACAATGGCAGATAACTGTCTGCTGTGAGACTGAATGAAATAAAACTAGATTATTCCTGGCAAATGTTTGACTTGTCCTTGAAATCTTTGCCACCAGATGTTTTTACCTTTCCTTGGATAAACTTGTAATACTTGACTACACAGGTAGAAAATCCTGCTATCAGAGAGTTGAGGCAGAGCTGCTGGAACAGAGCATCATGTTCCTTGTGATAAATATAGCCTAGTGGCAATAAGAACTTGGGTGTGCAGAGGGAAAAAAATTACATTTTCAAAATTTGTATTCTTAGGAATTAATGTCTGAAAAAATCCTCAATCAAACTGAGCAGTTCAATTCTACTTGGAAGCTTTGATTCCTTCAGAATTATTAATTTTTAATTTTCTTTTCAAGTTCTTAATTTCAAAATTAAGAGGAGTAACTTTTTTCCCCCATTTCTGGAAGAAATTCACTTTTTTGTCTTTTTCCTTGGCTGCAGGCATCTTTGGCATGGAAGAGATCATATTTTATACTTGGACTGTCCATGTTTGCTGTTTTTGGCAGCATCTACTTTGGCTTCCCTGGATCAGGAGGACTTTGCACATTAGTCTTAGCTTTTGTTGCAGGTGTGGGATGGTCTGATGAAAAGGTGAATGTTTACATAAGAAGCATACCATATCCAAAGTCTGGTGAATGTACAGCCTGACAGGAGCTTGAATTTCTGTCTGGAGTGGTAATGGTATATTTGTGAAGCAGTAGAGAGTGTACAGATTTAAAAAACAAACAAACAAGCAAAAAAAAAAAAACCAAAACCCCGCCAAACCAAGCAGCACATTGTACATTTGTTTTGGAAGTGTTTAGCATTTCCTGTGACAGAAAGTGACCATGTATGTCAGTAGAGCAATATGTCTGCCAATACAGAGCCTGGTGTACTGATTGAGAAATGCTCAGCTTTTCTTAGACATCTTAAGCCATATGAAGGAAACTTAGGCACTTGACAGTAGCAATCCAAAGCTTCAGTTCCCAGCTCTGGGAGTGTCTGTACACAGTCACTTTATGGTTAAGTTTACAAATGGGTGTCCAAGATGCAGTTGTGTACATGGCCTGAATACCCTGAGGGTTTGTTCCCTGTGGTTTGGAGGAGGTGAAATGAAAAGCAGTGACTAACTATCCTCTCTCATCTTTCCCAAATCTCAGCCTGTGTAATTTGGATAACTTAGAGAGCAGGGTGCACACAATAAATGATGATGTAAGGCTATACAAAAACCATACAAAAGATTGCTTTTTAGTCACTTTCTCTTAGGCCTAGCCTACTTCATCTTACTGCTGCTGCCTTGCTATGTCTGACTGCCTCTTTTGCTTGATCCCATCTACATTTAATGTTTTGAAGGCATCTTTCTCTCCACAGCAATAGCTTTGTGACATTCAGTAGAAGGAGGGGAAGAAAAAGGAAAGGGGGTTAGATATAGTAGAGTCCATGTTATTATCCCCATCTTGACCCTGACTTTACAAAGATACCAAGGATTGTTATAACAATGAAAAGGAACTAAGATTGTCCAATTTTAAAGGGTGAAAAGCTCTTCTTGGGACTTAACTAGTTAAGGACATTACAACTGATAAAGCTCTCTACTGAAAAGCTTTTAAACCATTATAGGAGGAAGAACCTTAAAAGAGTATATGCAGTCTGTAAAGGCTTAGTTTAAATTCTTTTAATCTGTGAATGAAGCTTCATGGCCTTAAGTATATTGATGTCAAATGCCTTAGCTCTTTTTTTTCTCAGATAAAGATAGAGGTGCGTGTGTACTCAATATATTACCAAGGTTTTCCTGCTGAACTTCTCAAAGGCCACTGCCTCCCACTGTCCATGGTGGAAGGCACTTGACAAACACTGTCTACAGAGAACAGTGAACATTGGACCTATTCCTGGGACAGTCAAATGGGCAGTAAATAGGCTGAAATCCCTAAAGAGGGGATTTCTGGGGGCTCTTTTTTATTGGTTTTAATTTAATTATATTTTGCCAGAACTGAAAAGGGGGAAATAACAAGGAGAAATGAGGCAAAAAATGTTTACATGTGTATATATATATATATATATATATATATATATATATATATTTCCACCTCATTTTCTTTATGGCTACAGAAGTTTTTGTCTTACTGTAACCTACCATTCCTTGACAGAAGAGCAAGAGGTGTTGCAGGATCAGTCCCAAAGAAGATACCAAGGATGGGACATGTCTAGGCCCTGGATTGATTACTAAGTGACAGAGCACTGCACTTATATTTTCCACACACTCCTGCCTGAAGGTTCATTTGTTATTGTAGAACCCACTTAATTGAAAGACAAGTGCTATTTGATATACTATGTGTACCTTGTCATGTAAGTGGAAGATTCCTGTTTACTCTGGCAGCAGTTGTTTTAGGAAAATTGTGTAAAGTTCAAACGTGAGGAGAAAAGATGGGTTTGCCTTTATACACTATATTGCAGTGGAAAGTTCAGCACTTGTTCCTGCTATGTGATTTCAGATTTTTTCAGGCTGACTTTGCTCCTGCTGACATGGAGAAAGGCCTCTGACTGAGTGTAGCATGAACAGAGATCGTGACTGAAACTTGGGAGAGTCAGACTCTTCTCAGCTACAAATGGAAGAACATGTTTAGACATGCAGTTCCCAAAGGCTCAGAAACTTCATGGCAAAGCTGTTGAAATGACATCTTTCTAAATACTGAAAATCAACAATGCTTTTTTTTCTTCTTCTTGTGTGCAAACTGCTCTCTTACTGTTCAAACACCAGTGCTTTTTATTTCTCCTCTCAAGACATCAAACATTTATTTACTAGGACAGCCAGACTCAGTCTGACCTTCAAAAGGTGTGCAACTGATTTTGAATGTTTTAGTATTAGGTCAAAGCAAGTTGAGCAATTCTGGATAATCTTTATGAAACATTTTCACTTTGTCCTATGATTACTTAACTGTTGTGTCTGGTTGGCCATCTTTTTGTGAATTTACAGATTCATTTTGTTTTTATTGCAGAGAGAAATAGAAAAAATTGTGGCAGTTGCATGGAATATCTTTCAACCTTTTCTTTTTGGTTTAATTGGAGCAGAAGTATCCATTACATCTCTTAGGCCTGAAACTGTTGGTAAGATCATTCACAAATTATTATCATTCATTCATTATCCAGCTTTCATTACTGGCTTCGAAAGAATCTCTATAAAGAAATCTAAAACAAAGCAGATTATGGCTGACCCCCCCCAAAAAATAAAAAAACCAGAAGCACCTGTGCACAAAAGCACTGAGAAGTGTTTGTCTGTTGCAGGGCTCTGTGTTGCTATATTAGGCATCGCCCTAGTTGTGCGAATCATAGCAACGTTCCTGATGGTGTCCTTTGCTGGGTTTAATTTCAAGGAGAAGGTATTTGTCTCACTGGCATGGATTCCCAAAGCCACTGTCCAGGTAAACAATCCAACATCACTTTCATTCCAGGCTAAATCTATTTTCTTTAGCAAAGCTCCCTAACTAGTACAGCAGTAAGCGGGGAAAGGTTCAGGCCCAATGAGGGCTGAATGTAGAATATTGACTGTTCATACTCGAAAACACTCTAACTGCTTGAAAAGTGTGTGGAGAACCTTCTGTGTGCAAGTGTTTTGCTTGCATCCTGGGCTTACTCTTTTTAATGACAGTGAATTGTATATATACCACAGGAAATGTAAGCACTTCTCAGCCATTGCTGATTATTGTGCCTTCACATACAGATTCTGAGAACTCTCAAAGGTAAAAGCATTTCCCTCTTACACATAAGTGTCTGCAAGGACAGTCACATCCGAACTCAGAATGGATTTCAGTTTGTGATTATTTTGGTAAGGAGTAGTCTGAGAGCCATATTAACAGAGATGCCTCTGGCTGGCTACATTCCTGCTCCTTTATTTCAGTGATTGTCATGTCATTTGGACTTTGCCTCAATAGCATGATTACTTGCAAACAAAAGTTAATAATCAAAACAGGCAAGGCTTATTACATGATCAGTGATATAAATTTTCAGAAGCTGCCACTAATTGACTAATGTCAGGATACATTCTCCAAGTGAGGCATTTTCACAACTGCAATACACAATATACTGGCCTGTTTAATTAATCACACATTCCCCAGAAATGTGGATAAAATGGCAGCTAAGCAATGTTCTTCACAGGAGGAAGCCACACAGATAAACTCATTAGCTTAGGAAATTCCAAGCATAGTCAAGTGAAAATTGTCCTCACAGGTGTAATACAATGTTTACTTCGCTATGTACAGCCTAAAAACAGGTTGAATGTATTAAAAATGTCAAATTTCTATGAAATGTTGACTAATGATAGGTTTGCTTTTTTCCTCATTCAGTACTAAAGATTACTTTCTCCATCTCAGCAATGTTTTCTTCCCTGCAGGCTGCAATAGGTTCTCTTGCCCTGGATACAGCAAGACAACATCAAGATGAGCAAAAGGAAAAGTATGGAATGGATGTACTGACAGTAGCTTTCTTGGCTATCTTGATCACTGCTCCAATTGGAGCCCTGGTTATCGGCTTGGCAGGGCCCAGACTTCTGCAGAAGGCTCAGACAAAGAGCAAGGAGGATGAGGAAGGTGCAGAGGTTGGAGAAGAGGCAGAGGCCTGTGAACCTTCGTAAGACGGACAACTGCAGCAGTCTGGTCCTTCAACCCTGACACTTCTGCTGTGTAAAGATGGCATGTCTGATCTTGCTGGAGGAACCTAAAACTATCAGTCACCCCTGCTATTTTTAAAGCAGCCCTGGTGGAGTTCTATGAAATATTTTTATGTGAAGATGATGCCTTGAGATGAAATAGCTGAACATACAGTGAATAAGATGACCTGGCAGTGAGTCACTGAGAAGTTAGCAGTCAAGAGTTACTTGAAATGTGTGGGTGGTAAGGCCAAGGAGAGGGTCAGAATTGTTGAGGTGTGGAGTGGAGTCATGAGGCAGAATATAAGCAAAAAAAAATTGAGACTAATGTGAATAACTTCTTGATGGTTGAAACTGGGCTGTGAGATGACGAGTTATACAACTCAAAGAAAGCAACTTCAAAGTAAGTGGTTGTTGACACATAGTGAACAAGTCCTGCCATCAGTTAGTTAATGATTGGTGATTGATCAGTTGGTGATTCTCTCTCCTTCCTCAGTTGTGTTCCAAAACTTGTCTTTCCCTATTGCTGTTCTTCCTCACAGCTGATGCACTCCTTTGTGCCTTCAAGGACTGTCAGCTCTCGTCGTACAGCAACTGGTACTTACATGCTCAAAGAGACAGTTGGGGTCATCATAGACTGGTAATAAAGATGTTGGTGCCAGCAGAAAAAAGGACGGAGCCTGATAATGAGATGAGGGTTGTGGGATGGCTGTAAGGACTGGGGGAGGGTTGTATGGGATTAGGATTGCTGCTTCTTCACCTGTGTACCTCAGCCTTCACACAACATGATGTCAAGAGAGAGATGCTGTTCTACAGCCAGGAGTAACCTCTGTTGATCAAAATCCTACTCTTGCCTTTCAGGTTTGGTATCACTTGACAGATACCAGCAAATCTGTCTGGCTCCAAGGAAGTTGTTGGTAACTCTATTCTGAGGCACAGGGTCAGTACAGCATCCCTCAAAAACTGGAACTTACTGTGTTATTTTTTGGAAAGGCTATTAGATTGTGCCTGTAACTGAGGTGGACAACACTCTCCTGCAGATTGCTACACTACAGTTCACTGAACTCATTTTACTGCATCCTGTGTAGAATACATTTGATGGTGTCTAGGTTTTGGCATTAGTAAGAACAAATAATTGCTATTTTAGCTTTTAGATTTTTAATATGCAAAACAAAAAAGATGTACAAAAATACTTTTAACTACTTAAATACTTCTAATGTTGACACTGTACTATTTGCGGAGAGTCATATGCCATACAGATGAGCTGTATATGTAGCTGTACATGAATGCCTTTGCCTTACTCTCTAAGCAAAATTTCCTGAGAAATACTTCAATTTCATAGCCTGCAGTTCCAGCACAATGATAAAAATGTCAGGAAATTATCTGTTACGTTTTCCCCTAACAGTTATCAAGTACATTATATTTCTCTAACTGTGCACACTGCTGTTCTCTCTGCTTCCTTGGGATTGTACCATCTTCAGTTCAGTTCGTCTCCTGACCCGAAAGGAAGATGCTTTCAAACTGCACCTGATGGGTTTGAAGCTGGAGCAATGGTTAAGGGTGCTGTGCTTGGTCTTTTTTGTGACATACCTGGCCTCCTGTGCCTGTTCTGCCTACTTCACGTGCACTCCTGGTGTCCACCTGGCCCAGTCCTGTTCAGTATCTTTACTGATGATCTGGATAAGGGGATTGAGTGCACTCCCAGCAAATTCATGGACAACACAAAGTTGGGTGGCAGTGTTGATCTGCTGGAGGGCAGGAAGTCTCTGCAGGGGATCTGGACTGGCTGGATCAATGGCCTGAGACTGGCAGAATGAGGTTCAACAAGGCCAAGTGCCAAGTCCTGCCCTTGGGTCACAGCAGCCCCAGGCAGTGCCACAGGCAGGGACAGAGTGGCTGGGAAGCTGCCCAGTGGAAAAGGAGCTGGGGGTGCTGGTGACAGCGGCTGAACATGGGCCAGGGTGTGCCCAGGGGGCCAAGAAGGCCAAGGGCATCCTGGCCTGTGTCAGCAGTGGTGTGGCCAGCAGGAGCAGTGACTGTCCCCCTGTACTGGGCACTGGTGAGGCCACAGCTCAAGAGCTGTGTCCATCTCTGGGCCCCTCACTGCAAGAAGGACATTGAGGTGCTGGAGCATGTCCAGAGAAGGGCAATGGAGCTTGGGAAGGGTCTGGAGCACAGGTCCTGTGAGGAGTGGCTGAGGGAGCTGGGGGTGTTTATCCTGGAGAAGAGGCAGCTCAGGGGGCACCTTAGTGCTCTGCAGCTCCCTGACAGGAGGGTGTAGCCAGGTGGGGGTCGGACTCCTCTGGCATGCAGCCAGTGATAGGATGAGAGGAAGAGTCATAAGCTTTACTAGGGAAGTTTTAAGCTGGACATTAGGAGGAATTTCTTCACAGAAGGGGTTGTTAAACAGTGGAATGGTCTGTCCAGGAAGGTGGAATCATCTTCCCTGGAAGTGTTTAAGCAAAGACTGGACATGGCACTGAGAGTCGTGGTCTGGTTGACATGGTGGTCATAGGTTGGATTCAGTGATCTCAGAGGTCTTTTCCAACCTCATTGATTCTATTTTGTGAAATGCATGTAGTTTTAATAGGAGGCTAAATAATTGGAAATTGTAATGTTGGTAAAGTTAATTGACAAGGTGAGGAAATACAGTGTTCAGTTCATCAGTAGCTGTCTATAAAATAGTTCTATTTGAGTAAAACTTAAAGGAGTTCACTTTTTTGTAAAGCTTTATAAAAAGTAGAATCCTCACAGAGGGATCACTATGCCAAATTTGGAATGTGTTCAATAACAGAAGTGTGATGTTGTAAGGATTACAGCCCTTTAAATTTGGACACAACCTTAAGTACAAAAGCAAACTTCTGATGAAGAGCTCTTGTTTGTGATAGCCTCTAATACTTCCTCCCCAGCAAAACAGCATGTCATAAATGGGATTTGCCTGTTCCTGTAACCTCAGTTATACATTAGATCACTTCCACAATTCTGAATGCCTGAATAAGCTATACCAATGAAAACTTGCCATCTTTTTTGTTAATCTAAGTGAGATTGAATAGATTTTTCTTTTCTTGCCATTTTATGTCCATATTTCTCATGAGACTCCTTTCCCCCAGCTTTTATTAAATCTTCAAAAAGTATCAGGTTGGAATTATTATAGGGACCTGCAGATCTAAAATTAAAAGCTTTAATGCTTTATAATGTTCCCTCTCCTTATCTTCCAGAAAGAAAGCATCTTTTCATTAAATGATATGTCAGGACTAAGAACTTCAGAGACTGGGGTTTTTTAGTAAGTATCATGACAGTTTCAGCTGCTTTTGAACAGCAACTAACTTTGAGATTAGATTTCAGTTTTTATCAGAGTACAAGTGAAGCCCGACATTAAAGAACACCTCCTTTTTAACAAAAAGCCTTGAAAATCATTAATGAATAAGGTATAAATTCAAGCCAATTAAATAATTATGCCATGGTATTCTCTTATTTGCAGGAAATAAAATAAGAGCACAATGTGCAGTAACTGATAAGCCAAGTCCTGCCGTCATGCAGACATAATCACAGGCATAGTGTGGGGGAAGTCTGAGTGTGCTGTTCCAGAAGGTTCACAAGAACCTCTGCAGCAGAAAGGTCTGACAGCAGAAAGTGTTCCCAGCAGCCAGCATCCAGCAGTTACAGCAGGCAGCATATGGGAAAAGTCAGAAATTGTCTATCTGCAAGCAGGGAGTCCAACAGGCCAGGGGATGTGATGATGATGTGATTATAATCACTGCTTATTCTCTCTTTTTCAGCCAAACTGAGCTTTTTATGGAATTTAAACTGAATTCTAAAATTAACTGTGAAAGAGTCATGGTGTAATACAGCCACAAAATGGATGATAGTTTCTGTATCTTACTTTTTAAATAGAGTGCAAGAGATCAAATTTTTGGTCAATTGCACTTCAGTTATATTTACTTTGTCTAATAGTAGTTGCCCCAAGTCAGACACCTTTCTCCAAACCTATTTTACAAGTTGATTTGTATTCTATTATAACCATGTTCAAATTAATTATGAAGACAGGAAAACATTGCTGTTCTTGTAGAGTAAATAGGTGTCACAAAATGCTGATTTCAATTTCCCCAGATTTTCCATCAACACTGAAGACCTGGTCCTATGACCTTCATTCCGGTCTTTATTGGTATTTAGGGCAAATTTATTCCTGTGTATGGAGCTTCCCAATTAGATTAGAAAAGTCAGGTAATTAGTTCAACTTCTCAGTTGCTGGTGAGACACAGAGCTGTACAGGCACTTCAGCTTTTAGCTATCTCTGACTTCAGATAGAAAAGATTAGTAAATTCTTTAATATTTTCTATAGGAAGTTCTGTGGACATGAGAGAGTATTACCTTGACAGATTTTGAAATCCAAGGAAAGTATGATTTATCTTGCTTGTGATTCTCATTAAATTATCTTGTGGAAATTATAAAGTGTGCTTTCTACAGAAGAACTGTGACTTGCTCTTGCAACACTACAAATTTGTTCCATGCCCTTACAGATATAAGCACAAACAAAAAAACTGTCCCTGTTTATCTATAGCCATGTCTGTACATTGCTGTTAAACTATCTCATCTAAGAGCAAGTAGGGAGAAAAAAAAATAATTCCATCTTTAACACAGCTTGATTAAGTAATGAAGAGGTTAAACCTTGCATTGTTCTTCTCTTCAAGGAGTTTTTAGGGAGAAACAAAACCATGTTGCTGTATTACTCACTTTAACAAGGTTTCCCTTAATTTAACAGGTTTGGTTGTGATTTCAGAGGAAACCAAGCTGTTTGAATACAGAAATATCCTAATAAAAGCTGGAAGCACATACAGGCCTGTGTCTAATAAGTCTGCTATAGTAGACTGTGGTTTTTAGACCCTGAAAAAAATGTCAAAGACAGGGCTTTACATTTCACAGTAATTTCTTCACCAAACCCAAGAATTGGGGATTGGTATTCTATATACATCTATAAGTGAAAACAGTATAAGATACTTACCTTTATATATTTTTCTCTGTTATAAATGTTTATATCCTAATACATTTATGGTTTGCTCATCCATTAAGGCAAGACCACCATGAAGCATTTAAACAATAAACATTATACCATGGTAGTGTTACACACTTTGTAAAAGCAGGCATTTAACACACAGTCACATCCTGATCTGCCATCTTTTGCTGCAAGGCAAGAGGTTTTAGAACCTAGAACTACAACTCTCACAAATGGAGGAGGAATGATCTACCTTAACTCTGCTGCTGCTGCTGCAAGATCCCTTATGTGTGAGAACAGCTTTCTGACTCACTTTCTGTTTCAGCACTCGGATGATCACCTTTGGCAACAGCTCTGGGGCTTCCCACCTAACAAAGGGTCAAATGAAATGCTGTTAAGGAATGGGTGAGATCTGTCATGGTACCATTGTCTAAAACTGGAGCATGGACCAAATTTTTATTTTTAAACTCATGGGTACACTATTTCATGGGAGAATTAAGCACCTTAGAATAATTAATTAAAAATCCAGCTGTTAGGTAAGTAGTAATTATTTGCATCTGAATTTAAGCCTCAGCACAGCAACGTTCTGACTTGCCTAAATAATAATTCTGAATGAGTAACGAGAAC